CATCCAACAATTTGATCAGCTAAATAGGATGAGAATAAATATGGGGGCAATGCCTGTGCTTAAGAAGCTTACCATGTCCAAATGTAAGAATCTGAGGTTACTTCCAGTTGGCATAGAGGGTCTTACGAAACTCGAGGAACTGTGTGTACATGACATGCATACTGAATTCTTGGCTAAGCTCCGAAGGGATAGTGAAGCATTTCAAGCGGTTCAACATATTCCAATCATCCGTTGAGGTCAAACCCAAGAGACAGAGCGTTGACTTCACTTTGCATTTTGTTTTCAATTAATGTTTTATGTTTTTCTTATTTTGACTTCGAGTTTAAGTTAATTTCTATATAAGTAATACCAACTAATGTAGCATATGATGACATGGTAATCCATGTTATTTGCCATGTCAATTACTCAAATTTGAATTTTTAATATTAAAAGATTCAATTGTTTTTCAATATATATATATATATATGTGTGTGCGTGTGTATATATCGAATTACCCGTTCTTTCTAGTACAAGATTTCGCCTCCCCCTGAAACAACTCATGTCACATGAGACCGTCATTATTTTGCTTTAATTTGGCAAATTGGTGTTGTAACACCCCGACCCCAAATTTATCCCATGTTTAATTAATTTAAGTGGAATTGAGAAATTACCCGTGGGATAAGGGTATTTTGGTCATTTTCTTACCCGGAAGGAATTTGGGAATTCCGGTTGTACCGTTGCGTAGAGCACGGTGAGATGAGTTCGTAGACACGTAGTGGGCTCGAATCGGAGTTGTAACGAGAGAGATATGGTCAAAAGAGGCTCCCCAAAAGAGACCGGGGCGGGTCAAAAAAAGCCAGGGCCGCCATCCTCTCCCACCCTCAGCCGGGTCTCGCCGCCAGCCGCCGGGGTTTCGCCGGAAAATCGAAGAAAACCGCCCGGTTTCGCCCGAAACTTCGCCGGCTTCGTTCTCCGTCGTCCGGCCGCCATTTTTGGCAATCAAGGTATGGAAATTCATCCCTTCTGCATGCTCTAGCTGATGGTTGGGTAGGATTTCATAAATTTTGAGGCTAGGTAGCTCGATCTACGAGTTGAAATTCGGCCAGTTTTACGATCGCGATTCCGGCCACTTCCGGTCAGTTTTTGGGGTATGTCCAAGAACAAAAGTGACTCCAAATTAGGTGTATTACCTAGGGTAGGAGTCTTGGCTCACGATTTGGAGGTTTTCCGGCGATGCGATATC